TTTCTTGAGCAACTTAATCTACAGTTCTTGCAAGGTATCAGCCATGGCCTACTACGTACTGTACTACTTTACATTATTGTTGGATATCTCAGCTCCCCTGCTAGTGCAAGGCTCCTCTGCTGGCCTTCATATTTACAGAGTGCTTTGCACAGAATAGCTTTTGCATGTAAGTCTTCATTCAAAATGTCTGTTGAATCAATCAATTAACAGATGAACTCATCAGCCAATTAACAAGTACTTGACAGAGCTGGGAAACCAGTAGTGGCTAAGAATGGGAAGTCAAACCAGGCAGAGGCTCCCCTCTGTGGGAGGTTACACATCTTAAATGCCTTAAATATAGATCAGTTTCCATGGCTTTCTATTTTCACTCCCCACATTTCTTTTTTTTTTTTTAATAAAGATTTATTTATTTGATAGGAGAGGAAGAGAGAAAGAGAGAGAGACAGACAGACAGACTTCCATCTACTGGTTCACTCCCCAAATGGCCGCAATGGCCAGAGCTGGGCAGATCCAAAGCCAGGAGCCTGGAGCTTCTTCTAGGTCTCCCATGTAGGTGCAGGGACCCAAGCACTCAGGCTATCCTCTACTGCTTTTCCAGGCCATAGCAGACAGCTGGATCAGAGTGGAGCAGCTGGGATTTGAAGTGGCACTCATATGGAATGCTGACACTGCAGGCGGCGGCTTTACTCACTATACTCTTTGGAGCTACTTGTACAGTCTTGGGGGGAAAATCTTCTTATATAGGAAAATCACAACATGGACAGAATGCAGAGGACAAAGCTGTGAATCAGATGCCCATCTGGCACAAAGCCAGCAATTACCCACTGGTGGCCAACCTTGTTTCAGCTTCATCACACCCACTTTCCCATACCCAAGCCTGCACTGTTTTGAAGCAAACCCCAGCCCTCATGTGATTTCATTCATAACTAGTTCAATACATACAAACTCATAGACATGCCGTCAAATGCAGGCTGGCCCATCTACTAGCCATGTGACCTGGGCTACCGTCATCTTGGAGCCTATTTTCTCTCTGCAAAACAGGGATAGTGATCCTTGCTTCTCAGGATTGTAATCCCTGAGATATGACATACGTGACCTTAAGAACTGGGACTAGTGCTGGTACACATAGAGTAGGTAATTTAGGGTGGCTGAGGCTTTGACTACTGTGTGAGCTTATTAACCCAGAATTCTTTCTGTCCCATTGCCAGTGAGGCACACAGAAGACAAAACAGGGATCCAACCTCTTTTAAAAAGAGATGTCGACTTCTCTATGCTAAATCTCTATAGAGAGAAACTAATTTGCAACCCATCAGCCCAATACTCAATTAGCCTCCAGGAGCTCAAGGGTAAAGAGGTCCAGAAAAATCTCTGGATCAAATTGGTGGAGTGCATTGGGGTTTCCTGCTGCCCTCCATGAGGGAGGGAGAGAGGTGCTTTTCTGTTACCTTACACGAAAAGGAAGGGGTTTTAAATCTTTTGTTTCTTTGTTTATTCAGAAACAGAAACAGGCAGGCAGGCAGGCAGGGAGCTCCCATCTGCTGGTTCACTATCCCAAACACCCACACAGCCAGCTCTGGGCCAGAATGAAGCTGGAAGCCAGGAACTCAAGCCAGGTCTCCAAGCCAATGGCAGGAATCCAGCTACTTGAACTATCACCACTGACTCCCAGGGTCTGCATTAGCAGGAAGCTGGAGTCAGAAGTCAGAACCAGGGATCAAACCCCGATACTCTGTGGGACACAGACATCTTAACTGCTTCGCCAAACTCAAGGCCTTAAGAGAGGACAACCTGCTTGCCTCGGAAATTGCCCAATTGTGAGGTAGAAAGACTGGTGTCTGGGTCCAACAAGAAGCAGGAAAAAGCAGCCAGTGGTGGCCGAGTGCAGGGGTTGGTCTGGAAGCAACACGGGCCTCCCTCTCACCGTTGCTTCCTACCAGAGGCGGCCCCACACCAGGGAAGAAGGGAAGGTTTACTGTTGTAACAAAGTTCAGTGTGGACACTGAGGACTGGAATTACATTCCTCTTGTGACCAGAAGTAGTGGGAGAACTTTCTTGTAATTGAAAGTGACAGAAAAAGTTGTCAGGTGTGTATCACAGGAGACATACACAAGTATACGTCATTATATATATTCCATACAAGGGAAAAAAGAACCCACGGGATGAGCTCAAAGGGCAAACTTGTTAGAAAAAAGTTATTCCCCTCTGCTCCATCATGTTCAGCCCTTCCAACAAAATAGTGTGAAGAATTCTTTACAAACATTAATAAGCTGTGGATACCAGTACACTCAGTGAAGGTATAAATAATGTATCACCAAGTATTAAACTGTAAGACATGTCATTTCTAAATAGGATAAAACTTCTGAAGATATATTAGAAAAGCTGCTCTCTATCCCTTTTAGTTTTATTTTCAATTAACTAACAGCAAGTAAGCAATGCTTCCCTGAAGGATTCTACCAATCCTTCCGAAAAGAATTGAACAGGGGGAGGTGGTGAAAACTGCCAACAAGACAGGAACAGAAGGGAAAAAGGGGGAGTCGTGGGCCCCAAGATGACTGGCCCACAGAAAACAATTCCATGTGCAGGGCCTGTGAGAATTGAAACAGCACTTACAGGGGAAATGCAGGATCTCCTGCCCTTCAAGAAATCTGAGTTAAGCACACAGCAAGAGCAAGACAGTCTACTGGAGAAGGAGGGGAGTGGGAGGGAAAACGCAAAACTGGAGAGAGCCGAGGAACTCGGAAAGAATCCTTGTAAAGGCGTCTGTGAGGTCAGGTAAAGCGCTCTGGAAAATCCAAACTTAGTAAATCAATATGAAATATACTGTAAACTCTGAAGCCATCTTGGTTCTGGAAACTCATTCCATTTAAGAACAGTATTTCTTTGGAGTAAATGAGTTCATCGTCACTTTTCCACTGACTATGGAAGCACTATACTGACCTTTATTTTTAAAATGTGTGAATGCTGATTGCGTTTTGAATTGTAAGTAGGCACAGATAAATTCTCAGAAAACAGCAAATACCAAACCAGAGCTATCTCTACTTACATCACGGGATATCCAAACAAGACTATTCAGTAGCCATAATGGCTTCCCTGTGCCACAATCTCACTCAGCGCTTATCATCATCGGGGCGGATGGCATGCATTCTAGACAATCCAGCACTCTGTTCTAGCCCAAATGAGTCACAGAACACACTGTGTATGGTTTAGAGAGAGTTCAGGTTCATTTTTAGCAGACAGGCCCACAGCGTGTTACTTCAAGTCTTCTGTTGCTACCACAACACAGCTGATAAGACTATTTCTCGTCAGGGTGATAATGATGAGACGCTAAATCTCAATTTCAATTCTGACCTACTAAAACTGTTTGAGTAATGAAATACAGCGTTTAAGTCGAGGCAAACATATTTATTTTTGGTTATGCAAGCTTAGAACTGATTATTTTTCAAATAAAAATCCAGAGGGCTACATTCCTTCCCAGAGTCAAAAGTAACAAAGTAGTGGTTCATATGTGTGAGTGAATGCATGCGTGAGAGTGTGTGAATGTGTGAGCATGTGTACAAACATGCACATGGGGGTTCTGCCACAGTTTTCCATCTGGAAACCATGATATAACAGGATAATCACAAGCTGCATTCTTACTGTGTAAATCCATGAATGATGCCCAAATAATGTAGCATGACTTACAAAAGAAATTAATTGTGATATGCAACTCAAGCGCAACAGTTGGTCATTTATAGTGGATTGATTTTTCAAGGTAATTTTAGCAATTCAAGAAATATCTTGGAGGGAAGAAGAAATAACTTATGAAGAAATATAGCAGTTTGTTTCCCACTGTTAAAAGAAGATAGATTTCTCAATGTAGCTCTGTTATCATATAATCAATCCTTCAAAATAAAATACAGCTAGTCTAAACCAACTGTAAGGATAAAAAGCCATCTTTTATTTAACTGTTGATTCATTTTTATAATTATTGTCTACTTTATAGTAATCTACTTCAACTACTTCAAACGTGACTCCTCCCTCCACCTTCCCCAGGGCAAGAAGACTCTAATAGTTTACACAGAAGGCAAAGGAAAAGCTAGGCAGCTGTCCTTCAAGGTGGAACAAAAAATTAGAGACATGATTCTCCCTTTTAAGCCAATGAAGTCACCTGGACGTAGAGGGAACACCTCCCTACCTTTCCCTTCTCATCCAGAGGTTTGAAAACTAAGCTCCCAGAAACATTTTTCTCTAAGGCAAAGGAATGATGAGACTCCTCAGAGGAGAATGCAAGAAACGGCCTTCAAGTACTGGAAGTGACTTCTAAGTAAATATGCCAGAACTAATACATACAAATGGATGTCCCCTCCCCCTGCCAAATCATTAGCTTGGACAGTACATACTTCTTCCAATGAAGCTCTGAGAGGCATTCTGGAGTCTGCTTCAGAGCCTGGAATCATCAACACCCTTAATGCTGGCAAATGTTGTTCTTCTCAGGCTGAATGTAGCAGCAGTCAGAAGTCCTCAGAGCAGCTGTGCTTTTCAATGCAAGCCCCCTGATGACATCCCAAGTCTGGGTCATGTGTCCTAAATGACCCCTGTACCTCTCCCAGCAGAGCGCTGTTCATCCTACACTAGAATTGCTTACTTATTTGTCATCTGTCTCTCTGACAAAACTGCAAACTTCATTCGGCAGGGAATTTATCTATCTACTTGATTATCCTACTCACCATAGTGCTTAGAAAAGTACAGGCATCCAAGAAATACTGACCAATGCAACTTACTGGAAAGCAAAATGGTTTGGAATACTGCACGTATCCTCTATACTCATCCTCTCCTCTTAGAAAGTATTACACCTCTTCTATACGGAAGAATAACTACTTTATACACCAGAGGTGAGGTGAACAGCTGGATCAAATGATTTGCATTACTTATTTATGCTCAGAAAAACTCATGATTACATCTTTACAGACTGAAAAATTTACAAATTTCTCACTCCCAGATCTGCAAGTACAATATCTTACCTAGCTGTAGTATCTTTATGGTGTCACTGTAGGCCTTCTTCACCAGCTTGAAATGGCGATAAAGTGGGTAGCACAGAACTCTTCTTCCAAAAGACACCACGATTTCATGAACATTAGTCCATGTCTGTCAAGGGTCATTTTAACAAGTAGTCACTTTCATAAAATGTTACATCAACAAAACCCCACAATGAAATAGGAAACAATTCTCAATTTAAAACTATAAATTATTTCAAATAGCATAAAGCCAAGAAGAGAAATAGAAAGCCATGAAATCAGATTCATTCTGTATACCTTACAATAAAATATTTTAGCATCATCTTTCTGATATCTCGTACAATATCAACATACCACAAATGCCCCTTAAAAATCACATATGTAGCAGGGATGTTTTGAGAAGTTTTTTTTTTTTTTTTTTTTAAAGATTTATTTGAAAGTCAGAGTTACAGAGAGAGAGGAGAAATAGAAAGGGAGAGAGAAATCTTCCATCTGCTGTTTCACTCCCCAAAAGGCTGCCACAGCGGGGGCTGGATCAGGCTGAAGCCAGGAGCCAGAGGCTTCTTCCGGGTCTCTCATGTGGGTACAGGGGCCCAAGGACTTGGGCCATCCTCTGCTGCTTTCCCAGGTACATTAGCAGGGAGCTGGATCAGAAGTGGAGCAGCTGGGACTCAAACCGGCACCCATTATGGGATGCCAGTACTGCAGATGGTGGTTTAACCTACTGAGCCACAGAGCAAGCCCCTGAGAAAGTCTTAAGAATTCTAAATAAGACTCTAAAGCACATGGCATTAACAAAACACTGATGCACATAAATGACACAGTAAAATGTTACAGCTTCATATTTCTGTCTCTTAGGGCTGCCACTGGCATCAGGGACAAGGAACTGTTGAGTGAGCACTGTTTGCAGTCTCCCTCCCCTCCTCCTCCTCTTTTTTCTGGGGGTGGGGGTAGGGGTAGGGATGGGGATAAGGGCTTTGGACATGAGTAATACAATGATATCTAACTGAGTAACTTGCCTTCACTTACCAAGACTTGGAGCACTGCCCTTCTGTTTTCTAATTTTGGGTAGGGAGGAGTATTTTATTTATTTTGAATAGTATCACACCAATACTAGTCACTTATAAATACTAGAAAAAGATTTTCTACAAAATCACATTCTCATTGGTTTTTGATAAGCAAAATATGAAAAATGTAACCCACATATAAAATCTAAACTATAAAATTAGAACTAAAGGAGCAAGATAATTTCCATGTATATGTTAATCTTCTTAACACTATGAGAGATCTGATTAAAAATACTGAATATTTGACAAAGAATATTTTATCTCTAAAAATAATTATGAACTTAAAAAAAAATTCTTACGAGGGACCGGTGCTGTGGTGCAGTGGGTTAACATCCTGGCCTGAAACACTGGCATCCCATATGGGTGCAGATTTGAGTCCTAGCTGCTCCACTTCCAATTCAGCTCTCTGCCATGGTCTGGGAAAGCAGTAGAGGATGGCCCAAGTCCTTGGGGCCCTGCACCTGTGTGGGAGACCCGGAAGAAGCTCCTGGCTCCTGTCTTCGGATCGGCGCAGCTCTGGCCACTGCGGCCATCTGGGGAGTGAACCAGCAGATGGAAGACCTCTCTCTCTCTGTCTCTACCTCTCTCTATAACTCTGCCTGTCAAATAAATAAAATAAATCTTAAAAAAAATTCTTATAAAAAACTAAAAATACTCATAAAAGTTGATCATAGCTATTAATAAATACAGCAATTTTACATTATCTCAAAAACAAGAAAATTTTCTAAATAAAATCATAAACAGGTGAATTATTACAGATAATTTAATAAGTGTACTATAAAAATATCTACTCAGCCTTTTTATACATCCAACATATTAAAGGTTACAATGTAATTATTGGAAAACTGACTCCTCTATGATAAACTGACTGTGGCAATGCGAGGCACCCCTATGGAGCGTGGCGGGTGGCACCTCTCCAATCCTACTGTGAGTGTGAACTTGCCAGAGTGCCACAGACTGACTCCAACTCAGAAAGCCTGGGGAAGGACAAGCTCCCATGAGGCTGCTGGTCCAGCGTGGGAGCCTGGACCATCTTTGGAGTGGTGAGATTCTCTAATGAACTGTTTCATGTTTCAGTTCCTATTCATACCTGACATAGTAGTCCAATAAAGCAATGCCATGAAACCACTCTAGATTTTACTACATGAAAAACATTAGCTCTCTTTGATGATATAATTTTAAATTGCTTAAAATGATATTTTAAATAAGCTTCTACTTTGGAGGCTGGTGTTGTGGCACAACAGGTTAAGCCACTACCCAAGAGGCCAGCATCCCATACTGGAATGATGGTTCAAGTCCCAGCTACTCTGCTTCCAAGCCAGGTCCCTGTTAATGTGCCTGGGAAAGCAGCAGCAGGAGGGCCCAAGTGCTTGGGTCCCTGCCAACCATGTGGGAGACCCAGACAGAGTTAGTTACAGGCTCCTGGTGACAGCCTGGCCCAGCTGTAGCCATTGCAGCCATCTGGGGAGTGAACTAGTGGAAGGAAGATCTGTCTCTTCCTCTGTCTCTGTACCTGTGACTTTCAAATAGAAGGATAAGAACATCATGTTCTTAAAACTGTATCTACAAGGCCGGCGCCGTGGCTCAATAGGCTAATCCTCCACCTTGCGGCGCCGGCACACCGGGTTCTAGTCCCGGTCGGGGCGCCGGATTCTGTCCCGGTTGCCCCTCTTCCAGGCCAGCTCTCTGCTATGGCCAGGGAGTGCAGTGGAGGATGGCCCAGGTGCTTGGGCCCTGCACCCCATGGGAGACCAGGAAAAGCACCTGGATCCTGGCTCCTGCCATCGGATCAGCGCGGTGCGCCGGCTGCAGCGGCGGCCATTGGAGGGTGAACCAACGGCAAAGGAAGACCTTTCTCTCTGTCTCTCTCTCTCACTGTCCACTCTGCCTGTCAGAAAAAAAAAAAAAAAAAAAAAGAATAAAAAACTGTATCTACAAATCACATTGAATCTGTTAAGAATGAATTAAAAAGTAAAATATGGGCCAGCGCTGTGGCATAGTGGGCTAAGCCTCTGCCTGCAGCTCCAGAATCCCATATGGGCACCAGTTTGTATCCCGATTGCTCCTCTTCTGATCCAGCTCTCTGCAGTGGCCTGGGAAAGCAGTAGAAGATGCTCCGAGTCCCTGGGCCCCTGCACCCATGAGGGAGACCCAGAAGAAGCTCCTGGTTCCTAACTTCAGATCAGCCCAGCTCTGGCCGTTGAGGCCGTCTGGGGAGTGAACCAGCAGATGGAAGACTTTCTCTCTCTGCCTTTGCCTATCTCTGTAACTCTACCTCTCAAATAAGTAAAAAAATTTAAAAAAAATTAAATAAATAAAACCAAGTATTACTATACTAAAAGAGGAACCAGACGTAACTATACTAACTGTAAGACCTACTATAAAGTTATTAAGCTATGCAAGTTTCCTAACGTGTAAAAGCAGGAACACTTACCTCACAGACGCTCTGAGGGGAACAGGGGAAGCAGTACACACACAACACTTAGCACACCTCCCTGTGGCCGGTCAGCACCTAGCTTGGCTTCTCGGCTTTGAGTTCTGAGCCTCAGCGTTTGCCAGCTTACAACACAGCTCCTCCACTTTTACCCCCACGCAAACCACATCCCCTTTTACTCCAAGGTTATTTTTCCCTCCTCTAGTTTCCAAAATACACACCTGGATCAGTACCACAATTTTATTTTAAAAATGGAAAACAAACTTGTACAACAAAGCTTCCACTTATAAAAGGCCAAGGAACTGCTTGAATTATCCCGTCAGGATGACAACAGAAAAACCACTGTGAACAACAGAATCTCAGTAACTATCTCAAAATGGAAATCATACCTCAAACCAGCACAGCGTTGGACTCAGTTTTCTGATATTCCATGCTGATTCAACCTTTAGTGGGTTAGGAAAAAAGAGTACTATCACTTTAAAGTCACTTGAAAATAAATATATCCAGTGTGAGTAGCACTGACATATACAAGAACTAAAAATAGTACAAGTATAAAAACAATTATTTTACTGATGCAAAGTCTATCAGAAGGAAGTTTCTGTTTACATTCTTCGAGACTTTATGAAATAAAACTTTCCTACTGGTAAGAGAACCACAATACACGAGTGACAATCAAGGGCTTTGAAAGTAGAAATTAAAGCAAAGCAATGTCGGTTCAACCTGATCCTTCTCCACTAAGCCACTTGCCTCCCAAACTACATAATCTACCAAAGGGCTCAGAGACAATGCTGAAGTGCTGTCTGTGGCACTGAGAAAGCGTCTGGAGGATTTCACAATTCACAGAACGCTTCTGAGAGAGAGGACATGCTAGGGAGGGCCTCAAAGTTGCAAGACTTCATGCCTTGAAGTATGTGAACACAAGAATACAAAATGGTGAATCTTGGCCAGCACCGCGGCTCACTAGGCTAATCTTCCACCTGCGGCGCCTGCACCCCAGATTCTAGTCCCAGTCGGGGCGCCGGATTCTGTCCCGGTTGCTCCTCTTCCAGGCCAGCTCTCTGCTGTAGCCAGGGAGTGCAGTGGAGGATGGCCAAAGTCCTTGGGCCCTGCACCCACATGGGAGACCAGGAGAAGCACCTGGCTCCTGGCTTCAGATCAGTGCGGTGCGCCGGCCGCAACGCGCCGGCCGCAGCGGCCACTGAGAGGGGAACCAACGGAAAAGGAAGACCTTTCTCTCTGTCTCTTTCTCTCACTGTCCACTCTGCCTGTCAAAAATAAATAAATAAATAAATAAATAAAAAAAATGGTGAACCTCACCAAGTATAACCAAGCACTCTTACTCAAGATTCAATAATACCACACACTTTTTTAAATCAAATTTTCTCCAATTACAGTATCGTTAAAAAATGAGTGGAAATAAAAGGTTTTTTTTTTTTCAGATACATTAAGCCCTTAATACTCATCAACATTTGAGTCATAAACAAACTCAAGAACCATTTAAAAATTTTCACAACCATGAAAATTAAAAATTGGTATGCATCAATTATTTTAAAGATTTATTTATTTACTTGAAAGAGTTACACAGAGAGAGGAGAGGAAGGGGTGGGGGAGGGAGAGACAGGTCTTCCATCTGAAGGTTCACTCCCCAATTGGCCGCAATGGCCGGGGCTGTGCCGATCCAAAGCAAGGAGCCAAGAGCTTCTTCCTGGTCTCCCACATGGAGGTAGATGCCCAAGGACTTGGGCCATCTTCCACTGCTTTCCCAGGCCACAGCAAACAGCTGGATCAGAAGTGGAGCAGCCAGGATTCGAACCGGTACTGATACGGGACGTTGGACTGCAGGCGGTGTCTTTACCTGCTATGCCACAGCACTGGCCCTGTATGCATCAATTTTAACTCTTAAGACTATGCTAGTGGCCGGCGCCGCGGCTCACTAGGCTAATCCTCTGCCTGCGGTGCTGGCACACTGGATTCTAGTCCCGGTTGCTCCTCTTCCAGTCCAGCTCTCTGCTGTGGCCCGGGAAGGCAGTGGAGGATGGCCCAAGTCCTTGGGCCCTGCACTCACACAAGAGACCAGGAGAAGCACCTGGCTCCTGGCTTCAGATCAGCTCGGTGAGCCGGCCGCAGGGGTGAACCACCAGAAAAGGAAGACCTTTCTCTCTGTCTCTCTCTGTCCACTCTGCCTGGCAAAAAAATAAATAAATAAATAAAAATAAAAAAATTAAAAAAATTAAAAAAAAAGACTATGCTAGTGATATGATGCTGAAAAAAGCAAATTAAATCATAGTAGTTAGTATAGTTTGACCCAGTGTAAACACACAGTTACATACACATATGCACACTGAAATACTTTTAGAAAGAGATATGGCGCCATTTAACAGTGGTTACTTCTGGGGCTGGCGTTGCGGTGTAGCAGGTAAAGCCTCCACCTACAACGTATCTCACATGGGTGATAGTCTGTGTCCTGGCTGCTCCGGTTCTGATCCAGTCCCCTGCTAATGGCCTGAGAAAACCAGTGCAAGATGGCTCAAGTCTTTGGGCCCCTGCCACCCACATGGGAGAACCAGATGAAGCTCCTGGTTCTGGCCTGGCCCAGCCCTGGCTGTTACAGCCATCTGGGGAGTGAACCAGCAGATGAAGACCTCTCTTTCTCTTTATTTCTCTCTGTAAATCCTTTAAATACATTTAAAAATCTTAAAAAAAAAAAAAAAAAAGCTACATTTCTGATGGCTCAAATTACAGGAAATCTTAAGTTATTTTCTTCATGCATGCATTTTCCTTTCTAATGATATAAATTATTCAGGTAATTCAAAAAAAAAGGAAAGCATATGTTCAGGTAACCCTTTTAGCAAGGATGATAATAAGCAGTTGCAGGGGCTATTTTCAGTTTCTCAGACTTTTCAAACTATATAATCAGTGGTACAAGTGAGAAATAAACTTCATTCTTCATTTGCAAAATCAAATATGGTTTACTAAGAGATACAATAGAGTCCACATTTTTAATAAAATTATTTAAGAAGTAATTTACTTTATAAAAGGATTCATTTTCATGAGTCCTATAATAGCAATAGAATACAGAAGAGGCCACAATTCAGGTTTCAGGTTTTAAAAATCTGATTTATGGCCGGCGCCGCGGCTCACTAGGCTAATCCTCCACCTTGCGGCGCCGACACACCGGGTTCTAGTCCTGGTCAGGGCACCGGATTCTGTCCCGGTTGCCCCTCTTCCAGGCCAGCTCTCTGCTGTGGCCAGGGAGTACAGTGGAGGATGGCCCAAGTGCTTGGGCCCTGCACCCCATGGGAGACCAGGAGAAGCACCTGACTCCTGCCATCGGATCAGCGCGATGCGCCGGCCGCAGCGCACCAGCCGCGGCATCCATTAGAGGGTGAACCAACGGCAAAAGGAAGACCTTTCTCTCTGTCTCTCTCTCACTGTCCACTCTGCCTATCCAAAAAAAAAAAAATCTGATTTATATACAATTTTGCAGAAGTACATAGACTACATGGATTGAGAAATGCAGGCAAGTGCTAAGATCCCTTCTTTGTAAAATATTATACTTGCATCTGCTGATTGCTTAGAGGACTATAAATGGGTATGGCAGTTTGTGCCTTGCCAAGGTTATGCATGCCTCATAGTCCTCCTCCTTTGGCCTATAAGAGGACAGTTCAGGATAGAGCTCTCTCTACCCTCAGCTTTCCTTCCTTAAACTTGCTTTCTCTGCTGTCTGGTAGAAATAAATGCTGAGAGTGAAAGGAAAAGACCACACAGGGGCTGGTGTTGTTGTACAGCAGGTTAAGCCACTGCCCTGCAGTGCTGGCATCCCATATGGACATGGGTTCAAGACCTTGCTTCTCCACTTCCAATCTAGGCTCCAGCTCCCTGCTTAATGCACCTGGGAAAGCAACAGAAGATGGCCAAGTACTTGGGCCCCTGCACCTACATGGGAGACTCAGATGAAGCTCTTGACTTCAGCCTGGCACACTCCTGGCTGTTAAGGCCATTTGGGTATTGAAGCAGCAGATGGATTTCTCTCTCTCCCTGTAACTCTGCCTTTCAAACAAAGTCTTAAAAAAAAAAAAAGTAAGCATTATACTTCCATGTTGGTACTGACCATTACCCACACGCACCTCTGCCTGGTGCAGCCTCTAAATAACTAGTCGTGATAATTTCCACTCTTGATGAGTTTCTCTCTCTTTAATGCAGTTTACATAGCACAGTAATCTGTGTCGACACACACAGACACACATGTACTTACATTCGTCTCTCCTTCAGTGACACGCGTCTCATAGCAGTATGCCAGGAGGATGTCAATCAAACTATAGTACACGTGACGAAGGGCTCTCTTGTCCAGCAGGTAAGACTTGTTGACAAATTTTCGCAGCTGGTATTTCTCTTCTTCAGAAAAAGATACTAAAAGAAAATGTGTTTAAAAAGTAAGTGTTTCATTCAGTTCTGTAAAACTTCCAATGTGGGAGATTTGTTAAAATCAGAACTTTGAATACAGAAGCTAAAACACAAGTTGCTGAAATGCAAGTTATTTCTACCTAACTCTGGATATACAAGCATACAAAAGAAGACCTCATAGATTTTTTTATTAAAAGTTATGCATCTGGGCCGGCGCCTCGGCTCACTAGGATAATCCTCTGCCTGTGGCGCCGGCACACCGGGTTCTAGTCCCAGTTGGGGCACTGGATTCTGTCCCGGTTGCTCCTCTTCCAGGCCAGCTCTCTGCTGTGGCCTGGGAGTGCAGTGGAGGATGGCCCAGGTCCTTGGGCCCTGCACCCACATGGAAGACCAGGAGGAAGCACCTGGCTCCTGGCTTGGGATCGGCGCAGTGTGCCAGCCACTACGCACTGGCCGTGGCGGCGGCCACTTGTGGGGTAAACCAACAGCAAAAGGAAGACCTTTCTCTCTGTCTCTCTCACTGTCTAACTGTGCATGTCAAAAAAAAAAAAAAAAAAGTTATGCATCTGCTCAAACCTTATTTTTTTTTTTAAGATTTAATTATTTACTTAGAAGGCAGAGAGAGAGATACAAAGAGAAGGAGAGAGAGACACACAGAGAGAGAGTTTGTACCCGCCATTTCTCTCCCCAAATGGCCCCAACAGCTGGAGCTGGGCCAGGCCAAAGCTAGGAGCCAGGCACTTCATCCAGGTCTCCCATGTGGGTGGCAGGGGTCCAAGTACTCGTGCCATCTTCCACTGGTTTCCCAGGCCCACTAGCAGGGAGCTGGATCGGAAGCCGAGCAGCCGGAACTTGAACCAGCACCCATATGAGATGCCAGCACTGCAGGTAGAGGCTTAACCTTCATGCCAGCAGTGGCCCCTCAAACCCTATTCTAAACAGTATCTACTCCTTATTTCTAGATGCCTCACCTTTTTACTTTTTGCCATCTTATTCTTATTTAAGGCATCAAAACAGCAGTTATTAACTTTAAGATAAGACATTTTGATAATAGAGAACATGTAAAAGCTACATAAAGTACTCTGAAAATAGCCATTATCTAATTGGAAAGTTCTATTTAGAGAAAGAGGAATAGTCCCATATATTAATCAATGGTAGGCACAGTATTTATTTACTTTTTAATATTCTTTATTCATCTAAATCAAGTTTTCCATAAATGTACATATATCATGACTATATCACACAGATTAGATTCATGGGAAGGAGATGTTTCAAAAGTTTCTTTTTCGGCGCCCTCTCTCCACCATCATCCTTGATAGCCTCCCTGATGTAAAATCAGCATTTACCACTCCTCAGCTTTCTCCAGATGCATGTCAGCACTCACACACATTAGGGAGTTTGTACCTTTTTCTCCTCCAAAGAACTAGATCATTTCTCCCCATCTAATAGCTCGCTCATCAATCTCTCCAGCATCTCCCCCCGAGTGGCTGATTTCTGTAAAGGGGTTCATGATGTACATGCTTGGTCCAACTGCTCCCCCTACTGATGGGCACTGGCTTTGCTTCTAGTTTAGTGCCACTGCTAATGACGCTAAGGTAGATATCCTTGTCATGGGTCCTTGGATTTTCCACACAAAATTCCCAAAAGTAGATGTACTGGCTCAAAAAAAAAAAGTATCTGTTTTAAAAAGATACTTTTCATAAGGACTGCAATAACTCTCCTTTCTGCCAATCATGCTTAGCAGTTTCCCTTCCTGGGCAGGCATTTGGCCCAGCGGTTAAGAGGATGCTTGGGCTGTCCACATTCCATATCAGGTGCCTGGGTTGGAGCCCCAGCTCCACTCCCAATTTCAGCTTCCTGCTAATGTGTATCCTGGGATGCAGCAGGTGAAGGCTAAAGTACTTGGTTTCTTGCCACCTAGGCTCTGGATTTTGGCCTGGGCCAGCCCCTGCTGTTGTAGGCATTTGGGGAATGGAACAGCAGATGGAGCTCTCTGTCTTTCTCTTTCTGTGTTTCAAATAAAATAAATTTTTTTCTAAAAAAGAAGTTCCCCTTCCTACCATACACCTCCCACACAGGTCTAGCAATAAGTATAATAGTTTTTTCCCCAACTGTTTCTAGAGCAATGGATACAAAGTGACTGCGGTAGGCAGAACTCTAAGATGACCCCCAAGGAGTCACCTCACCATGTAAGGATGGGGCTTGTGACCTGTTTCTGTCCAGCAGAATGTAACAAAGGAGATGGGAACATCACTCCCATGATCTGTCCCACTATTAGCAACCTGTAGTCAAGGACTTGCCTGCCGGTTTTGAAGAAATAAGACAGCAAGGGTCTGGAGGGGCTGTGAGACATCTACACAGCAGGGGCCCGTGGGGCCCTCTAAGATCTGACAGTGACACCAAAAACAAAGTGGGGCCTCATTCTACAGGCACAGGAATGGACGTGGCAATAATAGTGTGAGCCTCAAAGAGCACCCTGATTTCCAGAAAGGAGCAGAGCCCCAACAACTACTTAAAATTTTAAAAAAAAAAAATTTTTTTTAAAAAAGGGACATATGTGGCTACAGTCATGCAAGACCCTGAGCACAGAAGCCAGCTAAACTACACCCAACTCCTGGCTCACCGAAAACCAGAGTTCACCAACTATATGAAGTTTGCAGTGCATTGTTAGGTAGCCGGCAAGAGAATATTACAATGCTGGCCTAGCGTTAACTTCAGCAAATAGTTCTCTAACTGTGGAACTCAGCACATTGTCTCACAGGTGTGCCAGCCATCTGCAGTCTGCATTCGCCCTCCTGAGAATTAACCTAGCTGAACGTGTTTTGCCCAATTCTGTCTATCAAATGGCTTGTCTCATCAAATTTTTAAGCACTCTTTGTATATGACAGATACAAATCCTAATCATTTCTCCAAATCTACGATGCCTCTTTTGACTTTGCTTATACCACTAAAATATTTATTTACCTTTTTAAAGACTTATTTATTTGAAAGAGAAGAGAGAGAGGGAGAGTCAGAGAGAGAGAGAGATCTTCTATCTGCTGGTTCACTCTCCAGATGGCTGCAACAGCCGGGGCTGGGACAGGCCAAAGCCAGGAAGAGCCAGGAGCTTCTTCTATGTCTCCAAGATAGGTGGCAAGGACCCAAAGACTTGAGCCATCTTCAACTGGTTTTCCCAGGCCATTAGCAAGGAGCTGGATTAGAAGTAGAACAACCGGGACCCAAATCACTGCTATACCACAGGGCTGACCCCTCAAATATTTTTTATGTAGCCAAATACATCAATTTTTAAATACAGAAATAATATTTCCCCAATATCTGAATCATATGAAGTCTCTTTAAGAGTATTTATTTCATTTATTACATTCAAATTTTTAACCTATCTGGAATGGGTCTCTTTCTTTTAAGATTTCAGTATACTGAAGAGGAATAGTTAATGTGTCAGCACAAAGAGAGAAAGGTCTTCCTTTTGCCGTTGGTTCACTCTCCAATGGCTGCCACGGCCGGCGCACCAAGGCCAGCGCACCACGCTGATCCGATGGCAGGAGCCAGGTGCTTCTCCTGGTCTCCCATGGGGTGCAGGGCCCAAGCACTTGGGCCATCCTCCACTGCACTCCCTGGCCACAGCAGAGAGCTGGCCTGGAAGAGGGGCAACCGGGACAGAATCCAGCGCCCCGACCGGGACTAGAACCCGGTGTGCCGGCGCCACAAGGCAGAGGATTAGCCTAGTGAGCCGCAGCGCCGGCCAACAAATTGTTCTATAATCCACCATACTGAGTCAACAAGTTTGTCAAGTAAATCTGTTGCGTTCTTGCTTAAAAGCACTTGAAAGTATTAACTTCTGTCACTGCTAAGAACACTGTTTTGTTTTGTTTTGTTTTGTTTTGTTTTGTTTTAAGGGAAAGGGTTTATTGACCAGGGAAATCCAACAGGCCAGAGGGCAGCAGTGAAGAAAGGGGGCCCGAGCACGGGAAGCAGGTCCTGTTACACTTCCGCGAAGGGGTGGAGGGGAAATGGAGCAGCGAACCCCAGCAGGGTGGAGGTGAGGCTGACACCTGCGGTGGAGCTGCGTGGTTTAGGACCAGAGTTTACTGTGCAAGGTGGTAACGGGGCCCAGAGCCCAAATGGCGTCCGGGGTATGGATGGGAATACAGTATTTCCCCCATTTTTATTATTAAATACTCCTTGATCAAAGAGAGAAAAGCGATTTTTTTACGTATCAAAATGCTAGCTATCCAGGCCAAAACAACACACTGAAATAACAGATGTTAATAATAAATTAAATGATGTCTACATAAAAGGCAAGGTAAGCAAGTATGAAACTACAGTTCCCACACTGCCTTTGATGCCCTACAACTTAGGCGAGCCGTCACAAAGAAGTCTCTTACCATGCTTTTCTATTATGCATCTTCTTGCATTAACGAAAAATAAGCATTATTGGTCCTCATTACTAGTCAAATGAAATAGAATACCTCTTGAGCAACATTTACAGAAACAAGAAGAACTAAAAACATGGATGTGCTCCGATCCCAGCCATTACAACAGGGTCTACCAGTTGTCTCAGAGCAGTTTTTAAAGAAGCCTAACCATCTACACAAATCAGTATCTCTAATGGAAAGTGTTAGCCATCTCTTCCTGCAAAGGAATTATTAATTTTCCTTCCATCTCCTATCAGAAAATCACTTTTAAATTCACATAAAATGTTCAGCCCAGTAAAGAGAAGCATTCTGCTTCCATTTCCAGTGCTTTGAATCAAGGTAATGTCAAAATAACTTTCAAGTCTCTTTCTCCCAGTTATATTTAGGTAAAGACAGGCTGAACTGCTCTAACAGAGAGATCCCAAAAGACAGGGCTTAAGTAAGACAGAAGCTTCTCTCTGGCACTATTATCCTGGGTAAATGATTTGGGGCTGGCTGGGCACCAGCATCCTGTCACACAGCTTTCACCCATGGGTGAAACCGAGACAGCTGCTCTCGCTTTTCAATATTTGCAAACCACCAAGAAAAAAG